ATTCTGCTTCCAAGGTCGAACAAATACCAATGAATTTTGTGAATCAGCTCGCTATCTCCCTGATTGATCACGTATCACACCACCACAATATGCAGGACCATCCGATTCAGCTATAGCACAATCGGTATCCAATTTGACCCACCCCAATTGTGAAGGCAACCAGGAAATGAGAGAGCCCCTCACCACAGAACCTGTTCGAGCAACAGTCCTTCAGCATATGTTTTTATTTTACTCATTCAATCTTTCATTTATTTGATAATTTTACACGTTAATAAAAGTATTTGAATTTAAAATTTAAATAAAGTATTATTTTAATTCTTAAATATAATATTAATTTAATTCTTAAATTTTATATAAAATATTAATTTGATCTCTAAATTTAATTAAAGTCTTCACCTACGTCCGTCGTCCATTGTCACCACCTATCACTATTGATCGTAACGTAACTTTTTAAAAATAGATTATCAATACAAGACAGCCTAAACAAGAGTGATCATTAGTGTAATTAACCCTTTTTCTGTCGTTAGATGTATAAGCGATAATAACGATCTTTCGGTATTTGAAATTCCATGTATATCCCTGAAGTCAAAATTCCAATCAGAACCGTTGGATTCTCAAATTTGAGATCTTTGCCGTCCAATATTCCTATAAATGTCCTGGTTTATTTTCTAGGTTATTTTATTCCAGTATTATCTGCCTCCTTTGTTTGAACCAGTATCGTGGTCAATTGGTGACCTAGATGTAAGTTTTTGAATCCAGCCCATGCTTAATTTCATGTTTGACTAGATCAGGCTGTAACCGGAGTACAGATGTCTAGTCGTTTCATTTTATCGCTTTTTTTCAGCATCTGTTATGACATCACTCTTGCCCAGTTGTGGTGGGTAAAGAGGATCTGAATGATGCTTATATTAAAGTTTGGAGTTTTTAGTTCTCTCTGAATTTTTCATTCATGGTTCTTGGAGTTCGGGAACTCCTAAATTTCTTCAATATAGATGTCTAGTAGTTTTATTTTACTGCATTTTTTAGCATTGGGTATTACTTCACTCTTGCCCAATTATGGTGGGTAAAGAGGATCTGAATGATGCTTATATTAAAAAGGCGAGTTTTTTTTTAGTTCTCTCTGAACTATCCATTCATAGTTCTTGGAGTTCGGGAACTCCTAAACTTATTCATCTGGCTTGAATCATATGTATGTTGTGTTCTGGGGAATCATTTTAAAAGAAAAGCTGATACAATTACATTTAAAAGAATGATTGCATCTGGGCGTTTAATCACATGGGCCAGTTTTTCTTTTCAGCGAGGAATGTTTTCATTGTTTGTCGTCTCTCTCTTGTTTATTGTTGCATGTTTCATAAACATTGGGGGGGGGGAACAATTGTTTATTCTCGGAGGATATGGAATCCCACACCATGTGGACATCATTTTTTATTACTTTGTTGTTTCTTACATTTTCTGGGTAATCTTGATACATATCCAATTTTGGCACTAGGATATGTCTTATTCTTACCTGTGTTCCACACACTGTGATTAATGATACAGTGGATCTCATGGATAAGCAAATTTGCTTCTTCTGAAGCTTCTGTCGACCAAAGTCCACGGGGTGAAAAGAATTGATGATAATCTGTTAACATGAATAACGTAAACATTTTAGCCAACTGCATAACTGAGACCGTATCTTCTTATTGTATCTTCTTATTGTATCTTCTTATTGTATCTTCTTATTCTGACATTTTAGCTAATGTATAAATGAGACAGTTTATCGTGGATCAATCTCCGAGTACTTAAAATGGCAAAGAAAAATTGGGGAACTAGAACAAGTGCGAGGCTATGAAGCTCTACTTGCTTAACGAAGGTCTCGTTGCTCAGTTTCGGAATGTTCTATGATGCTTAGTCATAGGGGTGGATGTATATTAAAAGGAATGAAAAAAAATATAGAAATTTATATTTTCTTAAAAAAAAGAATATTAAAATTTTGGCCTACTTTGCCACAATAATAAAGTCTTGGAATAAGTAAGATGTAAGTTGTTCTTTGCTCAGTTTCGGAATGTTCTATGATGCTTACAGGCACATATTTGATAGCTTGAGTTTCAATTCACTATTATGATTTCGCAGGGTTGGTATTATATGTAATAGACATTATATTTTTGCAACTTTTTAATAAAAATTCACTAATGGATTAAATGATTAAAGATAATTATATTATCTTATTTTAAAATCAATTTAAAATAGGTTCATAATTTGTACAATTAATTTAACTCATTTGAAAAGTTTTTAATTAATATATCCTCTCTTCTATAGGCTGTGAGTTCAATTAAATATTCATTCCTCCTCCTTTAGATAGGAATTGTTCAATTTTTTTTACAACTAATAAAAATATTTATAAAATATATCTTAATTATATATATATATATATATATATATATATATATATATATATATATATATATATATATATATATATATATATATAGAAGAGGGAGTTAAGTGGTTGACCAACATCTTTAATATTATTTTAGATACTGTCAAGATGCCAGAGGAGGGGAGAGAGTCTACGGTGATACCAATATATAAGAATAAAGAAGATCCCCAACGTTGTGGTAACTACAGAGGTATTAAACTACTCAGTCATACAATGAAGCTATGGGAAAGGGTCATAGAGGCAAGGTTGAGACATGTTACTAGGGTTTCGGAAAGCCAATTTGGCTTTATGCCAGGCATGTATACTACGGAAGCGATTTATCTACTTCGACGGCTTATGGAGAAATATAGGGGAAAAAATAGAGATATTCACATGGCGTTCATTGACCTTGAGAAGGCGTATGATAGCGTTCCCCGCGAAACGATATGGAAGACCTTGGAAACGAGACAGATCCCAATTGCTTATATCCGGGCGATTCGTGATATGTACTGTAGATCTACTACATACGTCAGGACTACATTTGGCGACATCGAGGCATTTCCGGTAGAAATCGGACTCCTCCAAGGGTTATCTCTTAGCCCTTACATCTTTGTCTTGATTATGGACGACATCTATTGTGCGACACCAGACGGTGTTCCATGGTGTATTCTTTTCGTTGACGACATTGTCCTAGTTGCTGAAACAAAAACTGTGTTGAATAGTAGAATGTCTACCTGGAAAACTGCTTTGGAAGAAAAAGATCTAAGGATCAATATCGAAAAGACAGAGTATTTATGTTTAAACTTCAGTGGGAACCAGAATGATGAAGATGTAGAAGTATGCATATAAGGACACGTTCTCCCATCAAAGGATTGTTTCAAGTACCTAGGATTTATGATACATAAAGATGGGGTATAGATGATGACGTTACACACCGTATAAAGGCGGGATGGCTAAAGTAGAGGGCTGCTACTGGAGTTTTGTGTGACAAGAAGGTGCCTCTAAAACTAAAGGGAAAATTTTATAGAATGACAATAAGACCAGCGCTGCTGTATGGATCAAAATGTTGGACAATCAAGAAGGATCACGTAAGGAGGATAGAGTCCGCAGAAATGAGAATGCTTCGATGGGCATGTGGTAGGACTCGGTGGGACATGACACCAAACTCTACAATTAGGATGTCCTTGGGCGTGGTGCATGTATCCGAAAAATTGAGGGAGGGAAGACTATGGTGGTTCGGGCATGTCCTTAGGCGATAATCGTCGGAAGCGGTCAGGAGGGTAGAGTCGATTACAGTCGACGGTGCTAGAAGGAGAGGACGACCAAGGAGGAAGTGGGTAGACTGCTTGAGAGCTGATTTGAAGGATTTAGCCCTTACCGAAGACATGACCTCTGATAGAAAAGTATGGAGACTTAAGACCAGAGTAGCCGAGTAGTGTGGGTCACAACCATAGGGTGTATCATCTCTGTCTTCTTTGTAATACCTTTATATAGTAATTTCCAGGACTTCTACTTTTTATACGTTTTTGTCATTGGAATTTATGAAGGCTTAGAACTAGAGTAGAAGAGTAGTGTTGCCTTAGTTTAGGTTTTAACCCATTTGACTTTATTCCTTCTCGTAGCTTGCTATCGCTGACTTCTGTGTATCATTCTCTTCATGTTTTCTCTTTTTAAATTTAGCCAGGTCTTACGTTTCTGTCTATATGCAGAGATTTTTATGCAGGGATTTATTTGCAGGGATAACTTCGCATTACAAACGCGCATATGAAGACTGCATAAGCAGGTTGTTCAACTATGTATTTATATATTTATTTATACATGCATTGTATTGTATCTTTATTTTAAATTTTCTGACTGCCGGAGGTCTTCCACGAAAGCTGCTCTCAACCTGGCGTTGGGAGCAGCTTACTATACTACCTCCCCTTACCCCATCGTATATGGGAATAGGATTTTGTTGTTGTTGTATCATTATTTTGGATAATTGCAAAAATTTATTATCCAAAAGGAAGTAAATAGCCAAAACAGAGAAATAAGTCGCAGCATATTCAAACTATTCCCCAGTCACCTATACCTATCATATAGTCTGAATATAAGTGGGAATAATTCGGTGGAATTTATTAAATATTTTGAACCGTTCATTTTAGTTCAGTTTGGTCTTGAATTTTCTATATTAACTTTTAGTTTCAATTTTTTAATTCATTTTGACAAAATTTAAATAAATTCATTTTATGTTTTTTTATATTTGATAATATTTTTCTAAAATATTAAAAAATAATAATTTTGAAACAAATAAAAATAATTACTATTTTTTATATAATAAAATAAAATTATATTTATTATTTGAAATATAAAATTTTTTATATTATAAAAAATTAAATTAATTTAGTTTCGTTTAGATAATTGCAATTTTTAGATTTATAATCTATAAGCCATCTAAACACATAATCGATACTGGGTATGGTACTTGTAAATCAGCAAATACCCACAACTCAGGATATTGTGGCCCAGAAAGCAAATGTGCTTTCCTTCAATATTATATTGGGCTTTTCAAATCAAGTACATTATTTTTTAAAATATTTTTTGAGACTTAAAAGCCCTGTTATTGTCTGCTTCAACTTTCCCTTCTCTCCTCTTTCTTCCTCTTTCAGCTGTTGAGTGGAGATCGCGTTTCACACAGTTCCGGTGAGTCATTCATTAAACATATCTCCTCTCAAAAACTTCTTTCACTACTATTTCAATGTTTCTACTTTTCTAATATCAACTTGATTTTATTCGGGTATGATCTACCATTAATTTCTATCCCCCCTCATTATTTAATTTGATATTGAGTGATATCGGGGAAAAAACAAGATAGGGTAATTGAATTACTTTCAACTTTATCAAGTTTCCCATCATTTTCTCACCAACCAATCACGGTCCCTTCTTTGGTTTTCGTTCCAAAGTGTTCTGCTTTCGTCTCGTGTTGTAATCGGGTTCTGTCCGAAGATTACCTTTCCTTTCAATGTGCACTGGTTTTTTAGGAATATGTATTTATGTTAGAGTTTAGCCAATTTCACTTATTCTTAGTCTATAGGAATCTATAATTACAGTTTTGGAAGCTAAATCCGTGCCCTTGAAATCAGGAAAAAAGATGGGTATTGTTGAGAGGATAAAAGAAATTGAAGCCGAGATGGCTCGAACCCAGAAAAATAAGGCCACAGGTATGTGTTCATATCTCTTTACATGCGTAAGTGCTTGTATATGTTAACTGCTTTTGCTTTTTACCTCATTCCAAAAATCTTTTTATTTCTTGTATTTGATAAATTTTTTTATCTTCTGGAGAGAAACGGAATCTGGTAACTATTATTTCGTTAATATTTACTGAATGCGCAGAGTACCATCTTGGTCAGCTCAAGGCAAAGATTGCAAAGCTAAGGACACAATTACTAGAGCCACCGAAAGTATGAATATTTCTTATCTAAACATGAATAGATTGTAACCGTTTAAAATATGCATATGGTCAACACATTTTTGGATTTCCTTCAAATTCTTCTTTGCCTCCTTTTAATGTGTTTGTGCATACAAAGTGTTACAATCAATCTTTATGTTTTGTAAACAATTCCGAAGTGTCGAATGAAATATCAGCTTCCTGTCATTTTAACAATTTAAATTGCTGAAGCTTGTAGCTTTGATTTTCCACTTTCTACTTTCTAGGTGGGTCGATCTCTTTCTACATTAACTTACCCATATCTAACATGCTCAAACGAGTTTTCCTTTTTTTTGCTGGGGTGGCTAGATATTGAATATGATATATTCTGAGTGATCCAAGTGATTATGTTGTTCATTTCCCGGCTGGTTAACTGTTGTAATTGCAGTACTTTTTCTTTACACTTGTCGTGCAGTATTCTTTATCTCCCCCCCCCCCCCTTTTAAAGCTGCTTTTTGAATCTATTATCAGGGTTCTAGTGGAGGTGGAGATGGTTTTGAAGTTACAAAATTTGGTCATGGACGTGTTGCACTAATAGGATTTCCAAGGTCTGCACCTTTATCATTTGAGTGAATGTGTCTTAATTTTTTTAAATAAGTTATTAAGAACTATTGGTAGCTCATGTGTTTGCAAAAGTCGAAGCCTGGTCTACAGTAAGATGATTTTGATTTTTTTTCACTTGGGATAAATAATATAGTGATGATATCACTCTACTGCCAGTACCTTCATTCTGCCATCCTTCTCTAGCCTACTCACTCTATCTACTGGCACAACTGTGTAGGAAAATATATGTTGTGCTTTCTGTACAGACATGCATTTGTAAGAAAATACATACTTACAGACATGCTTTTATACTCTATGTTGACGTTGTTCTTTAAAAAGGTGGCTAACTATTGTGTTGTAATGTAATGCAGTGTGGGGAAATCAACCCTTTTAACCATGTTAACTGGAACACATTCAGAAGCTGCATCTTATGAGTTCACAACACTTACATGCATTCCTGGTATCATACATTACAATGATACTAAGATTCAACTGCTGGATCTTCCTGGAATTATTGAAGGTGCTTCTGAAGGCAAAGGGCGTGGGAGGCAGGTATAATTTTGCAGCTTCTAGTTTTACCCTGTGATATGGGTTTCCATTTCTTGGTATAAAACAATCGTTGCCAAATGAGGTAACTGATAAATGTTGTTTGTACCTATGATCTGTTCTCTCCATTCTTATGCTTAGTTTAGATGAATAGTTTCTTGAATTTAAGATTACTTATAGACTGTTCATTTCTCAGGTTATTGCTGTTGCTAAGTCATCGGATCTTGTTCTTATGGTTCTTGATGCCTCTAAAGTAAGTATCTATGTCAAAGTAGTAGTTTTTTGAATTCAAAATTTTTTGGGAGACTTCTCTTACCTTATGCCTTTGTAATCTGATATGAAAACTCCAGAGTGAGGGTCATCGCCAAATATTAACCAAGGAACTGGAAGCTGTGGGTTTGCGTTTAAACAAGAGACCACCTCAAGTAAGTTCATTGCTATCGTTGTCTATGTGGATCATTATTCATTCGTTAGGCATCTCTATGTTTTAAAATATCCTAAAGAAAATGAATAATTTTCATATCACAACAGTTTAACATTAACTAGTTCAAATCGTATGAAAATTCTGATTTATTAGTATTATTATTTTACAAATTTTCAATTTTGCATTATTGATGTGTCCTTCATGTTGGGTTTCTTGCAGATATATTTCAAAAAGAAAAAAACTGGGGGAATCTCATTCAATAGTACATTACCTTTAACTCATGTGGATGAGAAACTCTGTTATCAAATTTTACATGAATACAAAATTCACAATGCAGAGGTATGGAGTCTCATAACGATTAAACTTCTCATTTGATTTTATTAATTCTTCCAAATGGTGTTTTCTTATTCTGAGGTATTCCTGGTGGACACTTTTCAGGTTCTATTTCGTGAGGATGCCACAGTGGATGATCTTATAGATGTCATTGAAGGAAACCGCAAATACATTAAGTGTGTTTATGTTTACAACAAGATAGATGTCATTGGTATTGATGATGTGGATAAGTTAGCTCGGCAACCTAATTCTGTTGTAATAAGCTGCAATCTGAAGGCATGTTCTATCTTTTTTAAAATTGTTAATGACTTTTGGCAATACTAAATAATATGGAATGGAAGTTAAGGGGCATGCTAATAAAATATGGGGCACTCTTTTCCTCCTTCCAATATTCGTTGAGTTACTTATGTAGCATGACGGTTATGAAGGGGGTTTTAACAAGGCTCTTTTTCTTATAAAAAAAGGGGTATGCGAATAGTTTTAAAATGCAAGAATCTTCGGTGACTTGATTAGAACAAAATGACATTTGATACAATCTGATACTTCATTTGTGTCTTCATGTTTTTATGAAGTTCTATGTTCGTTCCCTATTAAAATGAAAGTAAAATGCTGTCTACTATACATCTGTCTACTATACATCAAGAACACAATGCCGAGCAGGAATTAGTTGTAGACATATATTACTTGTCAGTTTTTTACTTGATGCATGTAGTTTGAGAAGCATAACCTATATGCATGTCGCTTGTGCAGCTGAATTTGGATAGATTACTTTCAAAGATGTGGGAAGAGATGGGGCTTGTTCGAGTATATACAAAGCCCCAAGGGCAGCAACCTGATTTCAGCGATCCTGTGGTCCTTTCTACTGTATGTCACATATGTTCTCGTCATTGCATTTAACTGTAATATTTTGTGCTGCTAAATTAATGCTGGAAGTTCACTGACTATTTTTTTTCTTTGCATGAGATAGGATCGGGGTGGCTGCTCGGTGGAAGATTTCTGCAATCACATTCATAGAAGTTTGATAAAGGATGTCAAATATGTTCTGGTCTGGGGCACAAGTGCAAGGCACTTCCCTCAACATTGTGGCCTTAGCCATGCTCTGCAGGATGAAGATGTTGTTCAGATTGTCAAGAAAAAGGTAATATAAACTGTAAACTCATGTTCGTAGTAATCTGATTGTTCTGAATGGCTTTGCAATATTTCATTCCAACATAACTTGCTTGGCTGGGGGCATGGGACTGTATTTTTAATGACAAACGAAATTGAAACAAGATGGATATGGACTTTTACAGGAAAAAGATGAAGGAGGGAGAGGCCGCTTCAAATCACATTCGACAGCCCCTGCACGGATATCTGATAGAGAGAAAAAGGCTCCATTGAAGACCTAACATGAGAAGATCTGTCAGCATGAAGCCTCTAGAGTTACCCTTTTTTTCTGTTGTATTTTAAGTAATATCATCTATTAGGTAGCTGTATTTTGATATACACTTGGATGCAATTTTTGGTCTTTTACACTACAATCCAGTTCTCTGGAAAAAAAATTGACAATCTTCAGGCAGAAGGCAGAGGTTGTAAGCTTCAAAGGTGATTTGTCTTGTTTTCTGTTATTATGTTATAAAGACTACGGAAATCTCTGCAAGAAACTAGTGTCTTGTTGCTCGGAGGCTTATTTATTTGAACAATTAACAAGTAATTATGCTACATGATACGGGATCCAATCAATGATACACGCTTCAAATAACACTTTCAGGTTATAAGGCCCGTCCGGTAATATTGGGTGTTCCACTCTGAGTGAACTAGGCGATCTGCTTGGTGGCCTTGTCAGAAAAATGGTTACCATCTAAGAACGAATATTCTGTAGGATCTGAACATAATCCGTATTTTGCCATACCAAAGCTAGGAATACCTCTGTACGGACCACTTACACAACGTGCTATTTTTGCCACCTTTAATAAACAGCTTTGGAGAAAAAGGCCATGGTTTCTGCATCGCCTAGTTCCCGACTCAACAGCCTTGCCCCACCTTGAAATAACTCAACTGAGTTTTCAAATCTATCATCCGGATTTGAATTAAGAAAGCAATTTCTAAATGATCAAGAACCATAGAAGTTGAAATATATAGAACAAATTTGAAGACATCTTGGCCTATGTTAAGATTATTTATTGTTTAAGCATTAGCAATTAGCCGCACTAATTATTCATAAGTTTCAGACAAGGCACGGGCTCCAGCTGAAGCAAAGTCGACCTCATGAGTAAATTTGCATATTCGGCTGCAAGAATAATTGGCGAGAACACTAAGATCACACTCATACAGTCATATACTTCCACTACAAAAGAGGGAAAATCAGTAATTTTGTGTCCCCCCCGATGAAGTCTGGAATTAAACGGCCATTAGAAAACCTTCCAGTGGGGTACTTGAAGAAGGTTTCACCATATGGATAATAATTTGACCGACCACTTGTGTTAATGTAGTCACTTTTACCAGGATCAAACACTGAATCTCCAAACACAAACAAGGCGGTATGGCTTTTTGGCAGACTACGGCTGCATACATAGAACGAGCAGAAAAAGGAAGAAACACAACAACTTCCTTAACCTCGCCATTCTTATGTCACACTCTTTATTTTGCATGAAATTTATATAAGTTGCCTTCTTCCTACACGAAGGAAGATTCAGTCCTAATAGATGCTACAAATTTCCTATTATTGAACAGATTCAAAGGATGGGAAATTGTTTGGTTCTATGTTTGGCGGCAAATTCCATGGATTAAAGTTTTGTGCTGACTTCATTTGCAGATGTACGTTAAAGGGGATTTATCTCGTCTTCCTTTTTATCTTGTACACATTATGAAATCTCCCCAAAACCAAGTAGCTTCTTTTTCTAAGGCTTTGTTTATTGGAACAACAAAGAAGTAATTGAGACTTGGATCAAATCAATGATCATGCTTGAAACGATGCTTTCAGATTGTAAGGCCCCGTAATAGTGGGTGTTCCACTCCACATGAGCTCCGCAATCTGCTCATTGGCGTTGTCGGAAAGATGACCAGAGTCAAAGAACACATATTCACTAGGATCCGAACATAATTCATATTCTGCCACAACCCTCCTTCCGCCGCAGCTGTCGATTCCCCTGTATGGACCGCTTCCACAACATGCTATATTTCCTTCCTTGAAACCTTGAAAAAAAAAGTAGCTGTAACTTGCGTTTTGGGGACCATTGATGAGTACTAAAATAACGTCACATAGCTTGATGCATACCATATTTATGGGGATTGTTCAGCCTTTCACCAAAAGAAATATTCAAATAATGCATCGAGTATTTAAATTCAGCTAGTTTGATCTCCAATTCTTCAAGGGCTTTAGGCAGAGCTGCATCGTTCAGTGTAGCGAGTTCATTAACTGGTTCAAAGCAGGAACCGTTGTTTCCAGGTACAAGTGCTTTAAGGGAAGGTATACATCCCAATGTCCCCATGTTCAGAAACCCAAATTTCCTTCCTCCACTCTTATGTATTCCCTGGATTGGAACATCATCAAAATTAGATATACATGGAGTTGGAGTTGGTTCATGGATCTTAGCATCTATAACTAGAAACACTTGGAAGTATATGTAACTTACTTGGATTGTCTCGGTTAGATTGCCGATTACCATTCCGACGTATTCTTGTTTGGAGAATGTTTCAAGTACCGTGGAGTTTGAGGTGAAAGGTAGTGTGTAATCATTGGCTCCCACGTTGAATAAATAAACGGCTCTGGAGAAGAAGGCCATGGTCTCAACACCTTTGCCACTTTCTTGAAGTAACGTAACTGAGTCTTCAAATCTATCACCTGGATTTGAATTGATCAGAAATTTGTAAATGATGAAGAAACCAACGTCCAACAATAACCTCATAAATTTATTGTTTAAGCAATAGCAATTAGCCATACAAATCCTTGATAAGTTTCAGACAGAGCACCAGCTCCAGCTGAAGCAAAATTCGTCCCATAAATAAATTGATGATTTCCAGGTTGAAGATACGGCGGAATTAGTGGTAAATTTGCGTACGTGGCTGTAAGAAAAATTAACCAGAACACTAAGACACACGCACAATTTAACTACAAAAAGCGACCCCCCCCAAAAAAAAAAGATTGAGGAATTTGTGTTATACCAATGAAGTCTGAAATTAAACGACCGTCAGAGAACCTGCCAGTGGGGTGGTGGAAGAAGGTTTAACCGTACGGATAAAAATTTGCCCGACCAATCGTGCCGACGTAGTTATTATTTCCAGGATCAAAGAGTGAATCCCCAAAGACAAACAAGGCGGTAAGATTCTTTTGCAGACTACGGCTGCATACGAGGTTGATGGAACTTGAAATGAAAGAAAGCAACACAGGAACAACCTTAAACTGGCCATTCTTTTATGTCGTACTGTTGGATTTTCTTTCAATCACCCAATAAACACACAGAACAGGTGAAGGAAATAATGAAGAAACAATACAATTCAACTAAACCAGTCATGGAACACTGTCGTATCAGTGTAAAAAGCAATATTAACTAATACAACACGACTGCCATAGCCACATAATTCAACACGTACTCTTTACGGTTCGCATGATATTTATAATATAGTTGCCTGCTTCCTATGATATCGTCGAAATTTCCCCCGCGCAACTGGATTTTGAATTTTCAATTCTTACAGTTCTTAGCCGATAAAAAAAATGAACTTTATATTTGGCTGACTTTTCAATTCTAATAATCTGGGTTTCGAGGTTTGAAGGTCATTAATAGTCAAGAGTTGCAACTCTCAAAATTGTCCAAAGCTTGGCACCGATTCACCGAATCAGATCTAAGGCTGCCATAAACACTTCAAGGCAAACCAAGAAGTGAGGAACAAAGTGATGCACACTATATGTAAGTGATCTATATATATTTAATTATTGGATAATTATGTTATGCAAACAAGAAGTATTGGATAATTATAGATAGGCAGAAGGCATGCAGCGTCTGGAGGCCCCCATTGTTTTGGTTTTTAATTTTATATTTAGTCCTTGTCAATTCTAAAATTACTTAAATTAAGCCTTGATCCCTTCAAAATTTTCTAGTTCCACTTGATTCAGTTAAGGATATGCTCCATTGCAGAGTAGATCCAAAGCCCTGCCAACCCCCCTAAAATAGTTAAATTTTAACCCTTTAAATAATGGTAAAAATATATTTTGACTCTCATGAATAATAAAAATTAAAATTGATCGACTCCCTACAATAATAGTCCTTAATTAATTGGTTAATGGTAAATTATCATTGAGTATTTGAATGTAAACAATACATGAATCTAACTTCATGATATATATGACCAATGGAGTGGAAAATGGTGAATTTGGCAAATAAGTATGAAAAGGACGCAAAATACTTACCAAAGTGGGTGGCCATTTTTTTATGAAATGAACGCTATGCTTTATATATAGAATCATATAGTATGTGTCATAGCCAAAATTAGCATTAATGAATGTGAAATAGGTTCTTCATATTGTAAGGTCCAACATCATGAGAAATGCCTGTTTTTCCACCCCACATTTGATCTGCCAATTGTTTGTAGATCCTTTCGGTGAGATGGTAAGAATCCCAAAACACGTAATCTTTTGGATTCTTACAAAGTTGGAACTCCTTTACTCTCCTTTTCCCCCCACAGCTGAATGCTCCTCGGTACTCCCCACTTCCACAACAAGCCGTCTCCCCTTCCTTGAAACCTTCATCACACAAAAACCAAAATATTTTCCACCCAATGTTAATTGCAATTCTCTATATTTCGTTTAAATCGGTAAGAAAAAGTTTCTCGAGAAACAAACATGTACTTCCATTGCCATGTTTGGCAGTGTCTTTATATACTGTGGAATCAAACTATCATAGTAAAAAAAATTACTCGGCTCTTTACGAAGAACCTTTTAGAAAAGGTTTCCAAATTAAGCTCTCAAGCTTCGCAAGATCTCGAGGTTTCAAATAAGCTGCCAAAATATGCCTTTTTACCTTTTGACCAATCATCATATCTTTTAGAAAATGTTCAAACTTTTAAAATACATAATTATGAAAAGCATAGATTTATGTTAATTAATGGTCCCCCGAAAGTGTCAAGTTCGTTAAAAATGAAGGGTAAAAAACTATAGTTAGTAATGAGCAATATTCTTTCTTTTAATTTGCATGCGCTAGTCCCGTACTTACCATATTTAGAAGGATGTCTCATTCTCTGCCTGAGATTAGCGTTCAAGTCAAAAAGTGAATACTTGAAACCCTTGAATCGCTTCTCTAACTCAAAGAGGAGCTTCGAAAGAGCTATGTTATGTAATGTTGCAAGTCTCGATGCTTCCTCCAAGCAGCTTCCATTGTTATCGGTCTTGATTATCCTCATCCCCGGCACACAACCTAGTTCCGGTAAGTTGATGAAGGCAAATTTCCGACCTCCTCTTCTATATATTTCCTGTCAATTTAAACATAAAATAATTTTAAGGCAAAAAGAAAGCCAAGGTTCTTGTAGTCTTCGGTGGATTTTGGACAACATCTAGCGTATGCAATTGAGACATGAACGGCTTACTTGAATGACAGTTGTAAGGTTGCCGATTACCATCCCAACATATGTGGAGTGATTGTAGTTGTTTAAGATCGTTGAATTAATCAAGAAAGGGCTCGTGTAATCATTTGTTCCGATGCTAAACAAGTGTACACCTCTTGATATTGTTGCCTCAGCTTCCTCCTCCCCTAATTCATGTCTAAACCACCTCGCCACCCTGTTGTAGTTGCTTAGTTGTGTTTTAAGGTCGATGACCTGGAAATTGAGTAACCCAATTTTCAAAAGAGAACACAGAGAACTTTTTTTTTTTTTCTTACAAAATCTATGGTAATTCGTTTGACACATCATTGAGCCTCTAAGCTAGCCTCCAAGTTGACTTTTCAATTATATATTGTGCAATAAATTTTGGTGGTTTGATGTTTTTGGTGAAGATTGGACAGGGTATCAATAAGTTTCTTTGGGCCTCACTCACTCGATGTTTGACAAATCGGAGGAGATATACATTAGTGGACCCTAAGCCAGTGGGTGCATCCAGCCGATTCAAGTGGCTTCCTCAGTTACCATCCAATCAAACTATTTATTTCAAATCCAAAAAACTTATTCAATGAATGCATTACCCATGCTCCATACAATGTCTTTTCTCCTGTTTTTTCCTTTTTCTTTTTTACTTCTCTTTCTGTTCTACTTCTTATGGTAAAATTTTGAAGATAATGGAAAGGTGGAATCAAAGGCAGCTTTGCACGTTAATCAAAGATAACGAGAGAGAGAAATAACCATAAATTGGTGCTTAAAAGGAAAAAATACGTTAATTTAAGATTGATATATGCAATTTGATTCCAATAATATGAACATTAAAGAATGAAAGAGGAAGTTTAAGGAAGAAGATAAGACGTACAAATCCTTGAAACGTGTCAGCAAGAGCACCAGCTCCAGAAGAAGCAAAATTGACCCCTTGGTAATATTGTCGAAAACCCGGTTGCAGAAATGGTGGAATCAAAGGCAACTTTGCACGTTCAGCTACAACAGAAAAACAACAGATAATATACGAACAACACAACCAAGATGAGACAAGAAAGAAGATCATGTTAGGCAAAAAGAACATGCGTTGGTTAACCAAACAACAAAAAGAAATAGCAAAAAAAAAAAATCGATATTCTCACCAATAAAGTCGGATATCAAACGGCCATCGGAGAACCTACCGGTAGGGAACTTGAAATAAGTGAGACCGTAAGGCCAGAAATTAGCTTGGTCAAGAGTCGAGGTGTTTATGTAGTTGTTGTTCCCGGCATCCAGAAATGAATCACCGAAGATGAAGAACGGCACGTGCTTCTTTTGCTGCGGCTGGGATTTCCCTCTGCAACATGTGGCGTTAATGAAGAAAACGTACAAGATGATGATGAAGAAGGAGCTGAGTCTCGCCATGGTTTAGGTTCTCCTCCCCTGTGGCTTGGCTTCATGAATCCCACAGTTTCCCTCTTAAAAACATATCGACTTTGTCTCCATTTCTTATGTGAAAATGACTAAACCACAAATATCCAATTACGTCTAGGGGTGTTTAAAATTCGGTTTTAATCGAATTAATCGATCGAACTGAATTAGTTTAATTAATTCGGTCGGTCACCAAATTAATTCGGTCGGGGAACGATTAAGGATATTTTTAGAATTCGGTTAATGGTTAATTCGGTTCGAAATCGGTTAATTAACCGAATTAACCTTTAAATATAATTATATTAAGAGGCCCAATCTATTTAAAATCCATTTAAAACCCAAATCAATATTAATTAATTAAAATAATATCAAAACTAAATACAAAATGTTTGAATCAAATTAATTAGATATTATTTATAATTAGATATTATTTAAATTAATTGTAAATTGTTTTTTTAATTAAAAAAATATTAAATTCTAAAATTCTAAAAAAATTTCGGTTAATTCGAAAATTAACCGAAATTTATTCGGTTTGGTTAATATTTTCGAAAAAAAATTCGGTTCAATTAACGGTTAAAGAAAAAAAAATTCGGTTAATTCAAAAATAGTAGTTCAGTCGGTTCGACTACCGAACTAACCAAATGAACACCCCTAATTGCGCTGTGTAGGTGTTGCAATGGTGGACCAAAAATTTCAAATATTTTCCAAACTCATACCTATGTTGGCATTTGATTAATGGTGCGGACAAAAGATATAACAAAATTTTCACATTACAATCATGATTTTGCTACTTTATGAATTACGAGCTACTCTTAGGTAAAAAAAATAATAAAAAAAGACGGGTTCTTGAAGAAAGATGCCAGCGTCGATTTTTGACTAATGAAAGAATTTAATACCTCGAATAAATTGATGTTCAAGCCATTCATGTTTATACATGGTTTGGGGGTTTTCAATTAAAGAGAGTCTTCGATTTTATTTATTTAATATGAATTCTGTAAGTCGCATCCATGTTATGAAAGAGACAACAGGATCTTTTAAAATTAAAACAATACTCCGCGTTTAAAGGATTTCGAAAAGTAAACTCATATTTTATTTAATTTTAAATTAAAAATTATTATTTTTTAATATTTTTGGGATTTTTCAGATTTTAAGTATTATTTTTTTGTTAATTGTAAATGAATTTAATCATATTAATTCTTATGCACTCGTGAGCTAAAGAGCAGCTCTTATTCGTCTCTTTCATTCTAAATTTAAATATTATAAATTCTTTCATTATTTATAAATATAAATTATAGCGTTCAGTACAATTGGACTACAAAAATGGTTCGTTTTAAGCGAGAAAGCAATGCCGTTGCAGACAAGCTGGCTTCAATGAGCAGACGGCATTCCATTGGGTCGTTTTTACCGAGGCCCAATGGAAGGAGCTTCCAGTTAGTCCTCACTGCTGTTTTGTTTAAATAAAAAAAATATTTATAATGAATTTAATTCCATCGATAATCTTTTAGAGCAATGCAATATAAGATTATAGAACAAATTAAATTTTTTATTTTATGTCGTCAAAGGAAAAGAGTCAATTCAAGAGTTTTATATTAAGATACAATTATATAATAATTTGAAATATAAATAAAACACTTTCATTTAAAAAAAATTATTCATTTTTGAAGGAGTTAAAAATGTAAATTTATTGGGCCAAAACCACTTCAAGCCCTCTTTGAATGTCACCATGGCATTATGCTCAAGCACTGATCCACAATGAAACGGTAAACTTGGTCCAATATAATAGGCGGACTAATTATTTAGTCAAATATGGTACTAGATTTTTATTTATTTATTTTAGAAACTACAATATTTGTTACGGTGATTTGGAACTTGTTATGTGAGCATTACAAGTATCAATAAAATATATTTTCTTATTTGAATTTGACACTCTGACCTAACAAAACCTAATAAGAAAAATTATATTTTATTAAAATTTATCACTTCGATGTGACGAGTTTAAATAAAATATTATTTAAGTAAACTCGTCATGTATACGTGATGAGTTTAACAAATACCGTAACATTTATTATAGATCCCAAATTAATTTTAAAGAGGGCTTAATAGACTAATTTTTTAGCCCCATCACTTATTGGGCCAATTTTGACCATCTTATGAAACAATCTCTCGAATTTCATCTTAAAAGGCAGGCTTAATACAAAATAAGTGTCTAAAGAATGTTTCAAAAAATATTTTTGTGTCTAAAGAATTTTTTCGTTAAAAATAGGTGCCTAAAATTTTCTTCGTTACACTTTTAGGTGTCTACCATTAAAAACTCATTAAGTGACATGTGTTACGTCCAGATTTTTTCAAAATAAGATATTATTTAATTTTTTAAAATATAAACGTGATACGTGTCACTTAACGAATTTTTTTAACAGTAGACACTTAAAATTGTAACGAAGAAAACTTTAGACATCTTAGCGAAAAATTCTTTAGGCCCAAAATTAATTTTGAGTAAGTTTAGGCATTTATTTTTTATATTAAGCCTAAAAGGTAATGTGTTTTCTAAGTCCAAGGCGGGAGTTATATATTAACACTTAAACTGAATTTGTCTTGGATTATAAATTGAATTCTATTATTGTTAATTTATATTATATATAATTGTTTTATTGTGTTTTTCATGACTCAATTCGACATTGTTTTAGTTTATAAAAGATTAAATGATTATTATTTTTAAATGAAAATAAATATCATTAGTATGATAATTTTATATGATTTTAAATAAAACAATTATAATTTATTATATAAACTAAATACTTAAGGCCGCATATGATATTTTATATAAAATGTTGGCTTTATCCATTTATAATTCAATTTAATTTACTTTTTTATAAGAAGGATGAATAAAATTTATTTAAGATTAATCTCTAACTTTAATATCAATCAAAATTAAAATAATATTTATTTTCAATACGCAAGACTCAATTTACTTTTCAACCGTTGCATGAATGCAATCTTAATTAAACCTCCCTATAAATTATTTTCCACGATAACATCTTCTGACTTGATTCCTTCAATATGCTCAACGTTTTTCTTGGTTTAATATAATATATACATATTATCCAAATAACAACAAATTGCATATAAATGTACTTTTTAGAAGGAAAAAGAAAAAAATTCATATTAATAAAGTTTCCGATTTCCTCTATAGGTAGATAGCCAAAGAACATTTCTTGAGGAAGGATTTGGAACCATCAGAAAAAGATGCCTGCAAAGTCGAGTTTTTTTTTTTTACAAAAATGTATCAAAGAGAGCTTCGTGATTAATTGCGGTGAAATGAGAAAACTTACAAGGAGATCTTTAGCTGTTTTGTTTATGTAAACTTCATTTAGGAATGCCAAGTCCCTATACTCGAAGCTCATGTCACAATCCAGGACAACCTGTAATCAGGGACGGACGTAAGATTTTATGTTGGAGGTGAACCTAAATTTAAGGGGATGAAATAAAATTCTAAGGGAGACGAACTAAAATTATAGGAGGGTGAAATAGAATTTCAATAGAAAATACATATAAACATTTTAAAATATATTATAATTTAAAATTTTTAAAACCCCCACCCACCCTGCCGGTCCATCCATCAGAATCGCACTATATTTAAGCTGATATCAAAATTATCCAACACTGCAAAGCATTTCAGTGCCTTGAGAAGCAAGGAATTCATAAAGTAAAAGATCAACCACATGAAAGAGCACAAATTACAAACCTTGACCTTTGGCAAAGTGATGTGTAAAAAATGGAGGTTCACTTTAATGTCACCTGATAGTTTCATTGGAACAATGTTCTGCCCCTGCTGGTCTTGCAACCAATCCCCACTCAGAACCCGGCTGACATTCACACAAGGAATTAAAACCCTTGTTGTCAAACTGACATTTCTACTATGAGCAGGTTGAAAGAACCCGGGAACTCTAATGACAGCCATCGGGAGTCCTTCCGAGTGGAGTTGAAGCCTCGAAGGGCTGTACCTTAGGCTGATTTTGTTAGGATTGCTAGCGTTCAAGACCAAAGATGCAACAGCTGAGACAAACAAGGTTGAATTGGAATAAACATTCAACTGGTATGCATCTAATGTTACGGTTCGGACCGAAAACACTGGCTTTTGAGGCTTCAAAACGAACACGACCATCAATCCACCCAGCCCGACGGTGGAGACTATGACTAGAACATAAAGAGAGAGAAAGAAACAACATCTCCTGAGGAAACGCTCTTGTTTCAATGGTTGCCGGAGAGGTAAACAACCCGAGTCGTGCATTGGGGCATGCATGATAAAGCCTTCATTTTGGAATTATGTCGAACTTAATCCAACAGTTCAAGTTGTGATTTAACGTTTTGTTTATTGCAGTTGCTTCATGATTAAGAAGGAATTCGATGTTTTTCTTTTAACGGTAACATTCTATTATTCCTTCCTTAACGGGATTGGATACAAAGAAATGGTTCAAAAACTATAGATCAATCTCAAGTATATCCTTTCATTGAAGTTTCCTTCTTAAACAAAATTGCCAGAGCTGCCGTAGCAGATTGAAGTCAACATGTTCATTCCGTACACCCTCCCTCGTTGCTAATGGGCTGTACTTTTGCAGCCACTCATATGGACATTCACCAGACCCCTTCAAAGCTTTTCTTTAATTCTCTTTATTGGGTAAATACACTCCAGAACAAACTTAATTATGAGTGTAGTAATAAATGGATCACTTTTTTAAAATAAATTATAAATATATAATTCAATTCAAATATTATTATAAATATATCATTGGATTTAACAATAGTTTTAGTCCTCAAAATTTATACAGTCTATGAATTCTATCTTAATCTGAAGCAGTTTAATAGATTCAACCTATCATATTTAAACATTACATCATTTTAGCCCTTTTTTTCTTATAAATATTATATTATTTTTTAATATAATAATAATTTAACAGTAATTTGTTGCTATTTTATCACAAAGTACAATTATCTTACTATTGCTTGATCCGATTTACACGTTTACTTTGATAATATCACAAAAAAGATTAAATTAATAAAAAATTTAAATATGAAGAGTTAAATTTATTAAATTATTTTAAATTAATATAAAATTAATAGAATATATAATCTTTAAAGATAAAAATATTATTACATCAAATTACATTAGACATTTATTTTATTTTTAATGTAAAAATGATCTATTTATAATAATATTTTAATTAAATAATATATTCATAGTTTTTTTTAAACATTATAGCTGTTATTAAATCCGTAATTAAGTAACTTTGAGTTTAATTAAAAAAAATTTGGCCATTTTGTTTGTATTAAGGCAGGAAGGAGTCTTTGATAGTGGGATCCAGCAAAGCTGCCCCAGGTGGCCTAACTGATAGGACACGTTTAATGTACATAAGAAATGAATAAATTTGCAATGCTCCGCACATGCAAGAGAGAGAGAGAGAGAGAGTAGAAGACCGGATTTGGACAAAAAACCCAATGAGCAAGCGTATGGGCTGCCCAATTAGCATCGCGATTGACATAAAACACTTTGAGGTCTTTGTTAGCGTTCAACATCAAGCGGGTATCAGTAAGAAGTAAATCAATGGTTGAAGCGTCCTCTTTATTATTGACGAGCATGTTCACAATCGAGATCGCATCCCCTTCAATAGTGGCATTTGTCCAACCATTCTCCACGGTAAATTTGATTCTTTGTGTGAATGCTTCTACCTCAGTTGATTCTGCTGTGAAAGGTTGCTTAATTTGTTTGCATATACCACCTGTCACCAATCCGTTATGGTCTCTGACCACGATCCCAATAGCTGCGATTTGTTCCATTTGCTTACACGCCCCATCCACATTAATTTTTATTGCACTTGTGATGAGCTTTTTCCAGGTATGTCTTTTTGGCTACCTTGTGGGAGGGGGAGAGGTCTTCCATCGAAGTTTGCCTTGGTTAATTCGGCACAGAGGCTCTACGCTGATATGACAACCCCAAAATCGTTTTGCATTTCATTATCATAGACCCATTTGTTTCTCCTATTCCACACATTCCATAACAACGTAATCAGTCTGGAGAAACCCTCGATGCCTAGCCGAGCTCTTACCCATTCGAACCATTCTTTGCAAGAGCTTCCTTGCCATTTTATGATTACCTCCACAAGGCCGGAGATTCTCATGACTGCCTTAGTTTTGTTACAATCCTCGAGCGCATGATGTAAGCTTTCTGTCTCCTCGGAGCACATGGGGCATAATCCTTCGGCTGGTTGAGCTTGTCTCAACTTTCCTCCTGTAGGCAATGCATCATGACACACTCTCCAAGCAAAGAGGTAAAGTAGGAAGCTTGCTTATCTTTTTCCAAATTCCCCCTTGCTCAACCGCAGTATCTTTCCTCAGTATCAACCAGTTGTATCCTGATTTAGCATAATAACATCCTGAGTTATGATGGCTCCGTATCATAATATCCTTGTGAGTTGGGGCGATGAGAGTTGGAAGGACTTCACTAGCATCTTCAGGCAGCAAAATTTGGGTTACCATGTTAACATCCCATTTCGTTGTGTTTGGGTCCTTTGGGATCATGAAGTCAACGCACTTGAAGGGGGAATCTATGTTATCTCTGTAAGTACTTGTCTAGGAGATTGAGGATGAATCTCTCCAATTGTCAATAAACATTCTCGATTTGCATTCTATACTGATTCTCTAGAAAAATCTTTCTTTCAATTCCTCTTTAGCTTTAAAAATGCTTGTCCACACATAGAAGGCTCTATCCCCGATTCTAGCGTTGAAGAAATCTGTATTGGGAAAATATTTTGCTTTATATAATTGGAAGGCCAGAGAATTCTAATCCTGAAGGAGTCGCTATATTTGGTTTCCAAGAAGGACCAAATTGAATAATTTAAGATCTCTGAAACCCATACCTGCCAGTCTTTTAGATCTGCAAACTTTATCCTATCCTAGCATAACCCAACCCCTTTACTCATGTCTTCTTGACCACCAGAAGTATCTGATATGTCTTGTGATATTATCAATAATACCTTATGGGAGCAGAGAGCAAGACATAACATAAGTGGGGAAAGCTTGAGCAACTGATTTTAAGAAAATTTCTCTTCCTCTAAAAGAAAGCAAATTCTTGGTCCATCCTTGTATTCTTTTGGACGTTTTGTATTTGATGAAGTTTAAAGTAGAGATTTTCCCTTTGCCCACGATGAGTGGAAGACCTAGGTAGGTTCCAGGATCCTCTTTCTCTTCGACTCCAAACACGTCTTAAAGCACTTCGATGCTCTGGAAGGGTGTTTTTACTGAAGTAAATACTTGACTTGTCGAAGTTGATCTTTTGACCTGAAGACTCCTCGTAAAGCTGGAGAAGTTCTTTAATTTTAAGAGCCTCTTAAATAGAGTTCTTGAAAAAAAAAAGAGGCTATCATTCGAGTATAGCAAATGGGTGATTCTAGGGCCTCTCCTACTAGCTTTGGTGCCTTTAATTGACCCCTCATGCTTAGTCTTTAACAACATCGCTGACATCCCCTGAGCACAACAGAGGAACAAATAAGGAGAGAGGGGATCTACTTGACGAAGACCCCTTTCTAGGGTGAAGCAATCTGAGAGATGACAGTTGGTCCTGATCTGAAAGGTGATTGTGTTGATACAATTCTTAATGAGTTGCACAAATTCCTTATGGAAGCCTATTTTGGTCATGACGCTGGTCACAAAGTTCCATTCCACTTTATCGTAGGCCTTTTCTATATCAAGCTTAAGGGCAGCTCCTTAGTTATGACCATTTTTTGCACTCTTTAAGTGGTGAAACAATTCATGAGCGACAAGGAAATTGTCAGAAATCCTCTTTCCAGGGACAAAGGCACACTGGTTTTGGGCAATGCATTTAGACATGATAGGTTTCAAGCTGTTGACCAAAACCTTAGACACAACCTTATAAGTAAAGTACAAAGACTAATTGGTCTATAATTTTTCTTAGACTCCATATTGTGGACTTTAGGGATGAGGACAACGACAGTTTTATTGACTTCATTCTGATTGGTTACACCATATAGGATATCGAGACACAGTAATTAAGTCATTTATTATCGTATCTTAAAATGACCTATAAAAAGAATCGGAGAGACCATCAATACCAGGGGCTTTATTTGGATTAATTTGATTGAAAGCTTGCAGCACCTCCTCAGGAGTTAAATTCCGATAAAGATTATTGTTATCTTCTATAGAGATACTATAGTTGATGGCATCCAAAATAGATCTAGAAGTTTCCGTACCTGAAGAACGAAAAAGAGGAAAAGAAATTGATAGCCACCATGAAAATTTCCTCCAAATGCTCAACCTTGTTACCATTCTCATCTTTAAGCCCTTCGATCCTATTCTTTTTCCTTCTTCCATTACCCATAGCATGGAAAAACCTAGTATTCATGTCACCATTGTCGTAACCGGTTTTCGTCTGGGCACGAATGTTTCTTGACGGAAAAGCGAGTGAATAAATAAATGGTTTTTAATGAAATGTTTTAGAGTCGCCATCGAACCTTTTGAGTTAGGTATGTCGAATACCTAAAAATCACCTTTTAAAAGAGATTTTAAGAAAACATCATTTAAAAGATAAATCAGTCTGCGTATAGCCAGAAATTCATTTATTTTAGTAATAAAAAGAGATTCGTGGTCGGTTACGTTTGGGGAAGGATTAGCACCCCCACAACGCCCAAAATTGGTACCCATCGATTATAAATTGTCTCTATTATTGGAAATCTAAGAATTCAAATATGAATTTAATTTACGATCCTATTATTCCAGATTCAATCGAATAATTCTAAAGAAAAATATATTAAAATAATTTTTATAAAATTAAAGTATATATATATACTTAGGTTTCATAAATAGGGTATTTATTTATTTAAAAATATCATAAAATGACATCTAATTATTTTAAGATAATCCTTCTATTTGATATAAATAAATAAATAAATATTGATGAGAATATGATAATTTTTCCTAAAAATAATAAAAATAAAGTAAATATATATATATATATTAAACATTATATTTATTTATTTTTAAAATACAAGAATAAGACATATAATTATTTTAAGACAACATTTTCTTTAATATTTATAAATAAATAAATATTATCATTTAATTAAATTACAAAATTGATTAAATTAATTGATATAAGATATTATGATTACTTAAAAATATTTTAAGAAATAAAACACATATTTCAAGAAAAATAAAAATTAATAATAATAATCTAATAATAATAATAATACTAATAATATAATATTATAATAATATAATAAATAAAAAGGACAAACACATGTATGTGATATTAAATGATAGCAAAAGTTAATAAAGGAAAGCATTTTGTTTAAGTGACAATAAATTATGAATGATAAGACATCTTTTATTTATTAATACATCTTTTTTATTGGTTAGGTAATGACCGATTATGCTAGGCAAATTCAAATTCAAAATTATATTATATTATTCTTATCCACTATGTCCACTAAAGAAGACTTTAAGCATTTTGTCTTTTATTATTATTATTTAATTATTTATTATTTGTAATTTATTATTAATATATATTATTAGAATACATATGTGATTAAAATAAAAATAATAATAACTAAAGTACTAGATTTAAAATATTTAAACATAAAAGGTAATAATAGAAATAAAATAAAATATAAATGCTAAATTAAAATAAACAGAAACATGCTTTTAAGGATTAAATTGTAAAATATCAAAATTAATAGAAATAACTTAAAATATTATATAATATAAGTAATAACAGTGTAATTTAACTATAAATATTAATACGGGATTAAAATAAAAATTACTAAAATATAAGGGACTAAATAATATATTTACCATAAATATTTAATAAATATGGCAGGGACTATAACATAATAAAATAAAATAAGAAGACAAAATTAAAAGACTTCGAAAATTCATTTAGTGACCAAATTGCAAAAGGATATAAATTTGGAGGGATCAAGGATGTGATTTTTGCCATGTGGGAAATTACAGAAACATCCCTCACCCCAGAAACCAGCCTTTAGGCCATTTTTCTCTCATTTTTCACTTTGCTTCTCTCTTTTTGGAGAGAGAAGCTCTGAACTCTCTCTAGAATTCCCTCACCAGAGGGAATTCCGACCACCGTCGCCGCCATTCTCCGACGTCGATCGCCACTGCCGACCACCATACATAGTGGCTGAAAAACGTGAAAACTACCTTAAATCGTAGATCACACAACCCTAAAGCCAAATCTAGCTTCCATTTCTTTTAAAAAATCATAAACTTTCCTAGATCTAAATTTATACCTTCGGCGATTCAAGTCTCTGATGAGGCGTAGAAACTTCAACCACTGTGGATAAGTATTCTCGATCTCTTTTCTTTTTTCGGTTTAATGTTTGGCTGCTATGATTTTTTTTCCTGGTGCTTGATTACCCTCCTCCCCCTTGTCTTTGCAGGTTCGGTGGCCTTTTATAGGCCACCATGAAGCTGCCTTCGGTTCGATGGTCCCTCGGTGAGTCACCAAAGGGATGTAACATGAGCGGATGATGTAGATCTTCTGGAAGCATTGATGTCATGGCAGCAAATGACTGGGGAATATAACGGCTTAGTGGTTGGCGTAGAAGCGACGAAGTGGTTGGCTTAGAAGCAGCGGAGCAGTTGGAAGGACATGGCGGCGCCGAAATCTCCCTAGGGTTCACCAACCCTAGGGTTTCTGATGTGCTTAATCTGGACCGTTGGATCATGCCAAATCCAACAGCTGATAAAACTAGCAGCTGGAGAAGATGCTAGAAATCCTAATCAGGTTTGGATCCTACTGAGTGGTC